GAGCACCAGTTCATGTGATATTTTTGCTTTGATGGTGCCTAAGAAGAATGGTTCTTGAAGGACGTGTATTGACAGTCGAGCTATCAATAAGATCACCATCCAATACAGATTTTCTTGACCTCACCTGAATGATTTATTGGATCAGTTGCATGGAGCTTTTATCTTTTTTCAAGATTGATTTGTGTAGTGGATATCACCAGATCAAGATGTGGCTAGGGGATGAATGGAAGACTGCCTTTAAGACCATAGATTGGTTGCACGAGTGGACAACCATACATTTTGGATTGTCCAATGCATCTAGTATTTTCATGAGGCTACAGGTGTTTCGGGCTTACATTAGAATGTTCGTAGTTGTATACTTTGTTGACATCTTTATCTACTGTAAATCTAGGGAGCAACACTTGTAGCATTTGATGTTGGTCTTTAAAGTTCTGTGATTGGAGAAGCTATATGCTCACTTGAAGATGTTTCAATTAATGACAGCACAGGTATACATTTTGGGTTATTTTGTATCTGATGCATGCATTTGTATAGATCCAACGAAGATAGAGGCTATCGTGGGTTGGACACCCACCCATCCCCAAGTCCTTTATCGAGCTGAGATAGTTTTTGGGGCTAACATTCTCTTATAGAAGATTCATCAGGAGTTTCAGCATCATTACAACCCCCCTAACAAAGCTCTTGAAATGAGAGAATTTTTATTGGTCAGAGGCAACTTTAGTCCAAATTTGACATCCAGAAGGAGAAGGTGACTCAGGCCTCCTCAATGTTAGCTTTATTAGATTTCAATCAGTTGTTCGAGGTGGAATGTGATGCTTCTAATGTGAGGATTGGAGTGAGCCAGAGAGGGCACCCCATAACCTTATTTAGTGAGAAGCTGAATGAATCCATTGAGAAATATTTCACATACGAGAAAAAGTTCTATGCTATTGTGAGAGCTTTTACTTATTGGAGTCACTACCTATTTACTAGTGAGTTTACTGTAGTTACAAATTATGAGGCATTGAGGTTTTTGAACATCTAGAACAAGCTAAAGGACAAATATGCTTCTAAGGTTTTCTTGGCTTCATTTCAGTTTGTGCTCAAGCACAAGGCAGGGAGTTAGAATTGAATAGTAGATGCTTTCAGTTGTCACTGCTTACTGATCACCTTCATGTAGCCTAAAGTTGTGGGATTCGAGGTGGTGAAGGAATTGTACAAGGCAGATAAGGATTTCATGGAATTTTGGGATCGGTGTCAGAAGAGATCTATAGGACAGTACAATAGATTTGAGGGTTATCTATTCCACTAGAATAGGTTCCGTGTTCCCACATGTTCATTGAGAGAGTCCATCATACATGAGAGTCACAGCGGGGGATTAGCATGTCATTTTGGCAGGTCTCTCATTGTTGATTCAATTGAAAATAATGAAGATGATTGCAAAAAAAAAAGAAAAACACTGTAGAAGTCTAATTTGAAAAAAATTAAACATGTTAGAAGGCACTCAAACAATGCTCACACGATAAATTGTGCTAATATGTCTGAAGCGTTGAAATCATTGAAAAATGATTTCTAGCAATCAGTTGGATTGAATACAATAGAGATGATGAACTTAAAATGCGATGTCGCATAGCTTGAGCTTGAATGTCTTGATTTTGATTGAAACTGTTCAGCATCGCCAAATAGCTTGAATGTCTTCATAAACTGGAATGCAATGATGCGCTTAAAATGCTAAAAGCTATAGGAAAAAATTGCATCGCCAAATAGCCACAAGATGAAAACAATAAAATATCAATGTGGTGTTGCCCTAAAACACACAATTGCTCATTTTGTTAAGGAGACTAACAGATGTGTCCATGACATAAAAAAATATGTCGATTAAGTGTTTACCCATCACTCATGGGAAAACTAGAGATTAATTCTCCCATCCTTTCATTCGAAAGAAACAACCGAGAAATCCCACAGGAGAGAGTGAGAAAAAGCCAGAGAAAGTACAAGAAAGAGAGAGCGAGAAACAAAAGAAGAAGAAGAAGAACATAAGGAAGAAGAAAAAGAAGTGGAAGGAGGAGGTTACTTTAACCGATCCTAAGAGGAAGGAGGAAGAGCATGTGCGACATTCTTCCACATCCGAGAGGTTCAAACAAGTGTTCTTCGAGCTGTCGAGTGCATCTCGACTATTTTGAGGCTATCACGAGTGTAGTAGGGAAGGGAGACGAAATCATGTCTCTTGAGCTCTAGTTGCGGCTTTATGTGCCTTACCCGAGCAAAAGGAAGAGGACTCCGGCAGCTCGCAAGGATTCAACGACAAGCTTCTAGGTCTCTGTTGAAGAGATTTTTTGTGCCCTGGATGTTCAACCAAGGGAGAAGAAAAGGTGCGACTTGTTCCTACCTGTCGTGCGGCTTTTTGTAGGGGGCACACCACAGTTGTTCCAGATTGTTATCCGTTGCATGCTTGTTGTCCAAAACCCAGGCAAACGCTAGCTTGTTGTTTTCTATTGGCCAACCAGCTCATTTACCACCCTATCACCTTCCAATTCTTCATCGATCACCAACACCCCGAGATCTACCCTAAATTGAGTTGGATTGTTCAATATGTTATTATTTTTCTTGCAAGTGTGGTAGTTGTAATTTCCTATTGGCTTTCGGTAATAATATTTGTTTTTTTTATTTTATTTTGATTTAACTCCAATATCACAAACTTACCAAAATAACTCCCATTTTAACATAATAATTTATAGGAAAACTTATAACTTGTAGGATTGTAATTACTAAACTACCCCTAATTTAGGCTGAAAGAGTACTGAAGCACTATTGGCTGCAACTTGGTTTTACGTTAAATAGGATTTATCAAATCTAGTGAATTTTGATTTTTCAAACCCCCTACAACGGAGAGCGAACTCGCGAGCAAATCTATAAATTTTCCTTGTAATTAAATTTAATAAATCCAGATTTACGTCGTAAAGTAAACGAAATGTAAGGACTGAGGAATAGAGATGGAATGCGAGAAATTTTGATTTAACAAAGCATTGGATTTATTTATTTATTTATTTTGTTTGGGTTGATTTAAGTTAAATACATGGTTAAATCCTATAAATTGTATGCTACCAAACACTGCCTAAGAGAAAAAAAATATTAACATATCCTTCCTAACCTCATATTTTATGCAATGAGAAAAAAGGCTAACAATAATTTGTCTTATGCTTGGATCTCATGGAAAATTATCATTTAAACAATTTTTTTGGAGCCAAAATTTTCCAAGCAAGGTAAATTTGTGTTGAATTTTCTGTGTTCGGGAGACTTATAGCTCTAAAGGCTTGCAACCTTTGGGCTTATGGCCTTTGAATCTTCAAGGCTTTGGAGGCTTGCAACTAGTACTATTTGTCGGTTGACTGAGAGTTCTTCGTGCAGGTGTTATTGTGCTGTGGTGTTTGTATGGCTTGGGCAAAACTTGCAACTTATATTGTGATCCTAGTAGGCTTTGTGGCTCATATACTAATGAAAATTTTGTTTATAGCTTATCGAAGAGACGAATCTTATTTGAATGTTCTTGCTTTCTAGTTTTTTTTATTTGTAAATCCAAGGTAACTTAAGTTTATAATATGAGGTATAAGACAAAAACACTTTTTATTTTCTAAGGCTGTTTGTTTGGGAGATTTTGTTATCAACTGTAGTTCTTTTCCAGGGAATTTAGAAAATTGTCTTTGGTACGAAGAATTACAAATACAAAGTATGAATAAATTTGAAGTTTACACCTTAGTTTATTTTTGTTGAATTTAGAATTCAACCGATTTGGCCGAATTTGAGATTTACATCGTTCGTTAATGTAAAATGTTATTGGTAGGTCGTCGTAGCCAGCCACCCATTACCCGCCGCCCGCCGTTGTCCCCCGTCGCTTATCGCCCTCTGTCTGCTGACCCACCTTCCGCTGACACCCTGTCACTGTTTACCACCGTCATCGTTCGCCGCCACCGCCCTTAGATTGTAGCCCCTGTTTGTCGCTGCTTGCCTGCCGCCGCCTCCCTCGGTCGTCCGTTGCCATCGGTGTTGCCTGCCGCCTCCCGCTTTTGCAGCCTCGTCGCCCGCTGTCGCTCGCCACCGCTTGCCGTCTGCCTCTGTCGATCGTCCTTGCCTGCCATCAGCCGCCCGCCACCGTCACCTGCCGCCGATCGTCGTTGTCTATTGTCGGTCGATGCCGTCGGGTGCCACCCGCCACCCACCAATAATACCTCATATATTTTGAAATATATTTTTTTAATCAGCTTCAAACTACACGATAAAATATAGTCCTACATTTATTTTACAGTGAACTAAATAACTCTAGAGTCAAATATAATACATTATTTTTTATTACATTCATTTTACACTATTACCTTTTTTAGCAAACCAAACAGGTTGGGCTTGCAGTTCTTTCTGGTACTTTTATTGATCAAGGGTTTCTATATAAATTTTAGGGAAGGGTCATCTCATTGTTTAGATGGGAGGTTTGATTTGGTGATCACTATTTTTTCAATTCTATGAATATTTATTTGCTTTGCATGCATAAATGTTTTTTTAATAATTTGATGCCAGCTATATGGCTGATTTTCAATTGATTGTTTGATTTTTATGTTCCCTTATTTTCACGCATTGTTTTTGCAGAAGACTATTAAATTATCATTTGCATGAATTTTCTTATATTTTAATATTAACTACCCTTATAACACCTTTCTGTCATAAACTATGCTTGAAAATGTTTATTTCAGTTTAAAAAAGATAGTGATGAAGTTATTTCTGATGTGATGCTAAAGATTTGATTGGTATGCATGTAAATTTGAATGTTTGGTGTTAGATTTGAAAATACATAAGATTCATGTGATATGTATGTAAAAGCCCTCTTTTTCTTTTTCTCACCTTTCATTCTGCGTTAGTATGTGTAATTTTCAAATGATTTTGCTATACTCTTAACCTCCAATTGTAGTAGTATTTTTAATGCTGAAATGATAGGTTGGTTTTCTTATATGACTAGCAGTTAAATGTATCAGGTTTTGTATAACACAAATGGCTTCTTGGAGAAGAACAGAGACACACTTTACTTGGACTTAGTTCGGCTCCTTCAATCATGCAGCTGCGACCTACTTCGATTATTTGTTTCCCGCATTCTTAATCAAGCCCAATGGTCGACTGGCCCCCAATGGTTAAATAGTTTTGATTCCCAGAAGCACAGTGTGGGAACGAAGTTTAAGGTAAATATTCTTTAGATATTGCTTTATTGTTACATTACATAAGCGGTGGGATTGATTTCAGCATTATTTGCATCTTTTTTTTTTTGGAAGATTTACATAAATACCACTCAATTCCTATGTGTTTACGCATCTAACACCTGAACTTCAGTTTTTACATATGTGCCACCTTTCCTATGTATGAAAAGGTGTATTTCACTTTTTAATAGTTAAAATAGTGATATTTTTTATGTGTTATGAAAGTTTTATGTGGTGGTAATGTAAGGCAAAGTTTAGGTGTTAGATATGTAAGCACATAGGAATTGGAAGCTATGTACGTAAATGCCCCTTTATTCTCCAGTGAAGCTATTTTCCATGATAGTTAATCTCCACCCTTCTTCCAAACCAAAGCTTTGGTATTATTGGAGTCAGATTCCGTCTCTTTAGTTTGCTGGTAGGTTTTTCAGCTGAGAAAGAATTTCTAGAGAGAGGAAGATTAGATTAGAGGGAGGGAGGGAACGAATTCTTCGTTAATTCATAACAAGAAATAGGACCCCTTTAATTAGAAGGGCATTAGTAACAATCTGATAAATGACCTCATAGAGAATGTTTTGAGAACTTTAATTTAAAAGAACCGATAAAGCTTAATGAATGTGTACCCTAAATGGATCAACTGATAAAGACAAAAATATTCGTAATTCTTGCAATCAATAATGCACATATGACTTGAGTAGATGGTCATCATCTAAGTGCCCCAGGGTATGGAGAACTCTACTCCGAAAAGATACTGAAGATACTCAGTAAGAAAACCAAGAGAAAGGCATGAATCATAGCAATGATTGGGATCTTTGTGTTTATGCTCGCCGAAAACATCGACCAAATAGAAGAGCTGCTCAAGTTTAATGAGTTCCATTTTTATTTAGGTATTTTAAAAATGCTTATGATGGTGTATCTGAACATGGAATGTGCTCTCTTACAGTTCTATTTGGCTACAACTTCTTTGCTGCTTTATTGAATTTTTGTTGTGAGAAATAGTTTTGTATAATAAGATCTACTAGTGTGTGGTATTTGCAAAAAAAAAAAAAATGATGGTGCAACTACATACATAGAACATGAAACATTGCTATTTACAAATCTAGCATCCTCTTTCATCCATTTTTCAAATTCTTACTTGAATAATAAAGTTTACGATAGAACCTCAACCCATATTTTTCATGTTTATCAAATTCTCATTAGTTTGATCTTTGCACAGATAAATGCATCTGTTCGGTTGTTAAGAAAAGACACTTAGGTACTGGTTTTATAAATAACAATGTTTTGTGTGCAGTGTATGTACTTATCCCCAAAATTAGGGGCAAATGCATACATAGCACATGAAAGATTGCTATTTACAAATCTAGCATCCCATTTCATCGATTTTTCAAATTCTCACTCAAATATCTGACTTTTTCTAAAGAGAAAAATATAATACTCCTAGCAACGTTTAAAAAATATATTTTTCTCATAGCAGTTTTACAATTAATTCTGCAAACAATTATAGTTGTTCCAAATGGACTCCTATGATTGGTCTCTATCAACTTGTGTTATAGCATCCCAGCACACCGGCCTTAATAGACTTCCTAACTTTATCCCCAAGAAGAGTTATGTAGTTTGATTTGATTTTGTTTTCATGTTTTTGAGTTTAAAATGAATCAAACTTCCTATGAATATGTGAATTTTACAATTTATTCTTCAATTTAAATTATTTGATACATAGTATTAGAGATATAAATGAATTGAAATTGAGCGAGCTTAGAGCTTGTTTGTGTTCGGCTTGTTTGAATTTTTTTTTTTATTATTCAAAATATGCTCGTGTTTGAGATGACTCGTAAACATGATATTTGTGTTTGGATTGCATCAAATTTTATTTGTTCAAATCATCACGTGTTCAGTTTGAATTTGATCTCAACCCGAGTTGACTTCAAACTCTTATTAAATTTTTATCTGTGGTTATAAGATGTAATAAATTAAAACAATATAATAAATTAAATTATTATCAATAAACTTATAAAATTAATAATTTCTTACAAGTATGTTAGTAATATAGAAAAAATAATAATTTAATCCACAAGCTTCTGCACCTTTTGGAATGGGTGAAATTTTTTTTTTTTCTTTTGCATTTTAAAGAGCCATTGTTGATGATATCCTTCTCGTGGATAAGACGAGAAAAAACCCAAGAAAAACTTGAATTATGGAGGTCTATATTGGAGTCTAAAGGCCTTCATTTGAGTAGAACTAAAACTGAATACATGGAATGTAATTTTAGTAGTAGTAGCTCTAGTGACAGAAGCGTGACTTTGGATGATCAAATTATTAAAAGGTGTGAATGATTTAGATATCTCGGGTCTGTTGTTCAAAGCGATGGTGATGTAGATGGGGATGTTAATAGTAGAATTCAAGTTGGTTGGTTGAAGTGGAGAAATGCTCCGGGCCTTCTGTGTGATAGAAAAGTACTGCTTAAGCTGAAAGGAAAATTTTATAAGACGTCAGTGAGACCTGCAATGCACTGTGGCGTTGAATGTTGGCCTTTAAAAGAGAAGCATAGTACTAAGTTAAGTGTTGCCGAGATGAGAATGATTAGGTGGATGAGTGGCTTTACACTTAGAGACAAAATACAAAATGAATATATCCGTGATAGGGTTGGTGTAGCTCCTGTGACGGACAAAATTAGAGAAAGTCATCTTAGATGGTTTGGTCACTTTAAGCTTCGACCATCTGATGATTTGATTTGGAGAGTAGATGTTTTAGATTCGACTTATGTTAAGAAAGACAGAGGTACACCTAGGAAGACTTGGGCTTATTGTATAAAAAATAATCTTAATTTATTAGAATTAAATGAAAATATGACACTATATAGGACGCAATGGAGAAAAGGATTCATGTAGCAGAACCCACGTAGTGAGATTAAGACTTTGTTGTTGTTGTTGTTGTTGTTGCTGCACTTTAAAGAGCCATTCTAAACTTCTAATAGCTAAATCCCCCCAATGGGACTATTGGCTTGAACCGTGAAAGTGAAAGGCAAGGGATGGAAGTATTTTCTAGGGTCATTTACATGTATAGCAGCTAATTCTTATGTATTTAAATATCTAACACTTAAATGCTAAATGCATGGGCTGGGCATGGATTTAGGGTAGGAGCATTTACATACATACCACCCAATTTTTGTGTATTTACATTGCTAACACCTAGGAGCATTTACATACATATCACCCAATTTTTATGTATTTATTATATCTAACACCGAAATGCTGAGAACGGACGGAGCGAGATTTGGAAAATTCCAAGGGAATTTAGATATATACCACAAAATTCTTATGTATTCCCATATCTATCCTAAGTTTTATTTTTTTTATATTTATACTAAGTGAATTTTTTATATCATATAAAAGATATTATTATTTCAGTTTTTACATATTATTTATTTATTATTTAAATAGTTTGAGTCAAAACGAGCCAAACAAGATCGAACAAAGCTTGTTCTTGTTCGTTTCGTTATAAATCCAGCTCAAAAATTTTGTTTGTGTTCTACTTGTTTGCTTAACGAGCAAATCGAACATGAACTACTTAGCGAGCCAAACAAGAGTTGTTCCCGAACGACGTGCCTTTTGGAAAGTCCTGTGTGCGTAGTATCAATTTGTTACTGTGTGAATACTAATTTCATTTGCAATCATTTTTTCTCCTGGCTCTACTATCCAAAACAAATATGAATATTAAAGAAGAAAAAATAGGAAAAAAGACTTTTCGAATGGTCTTTTAAGAATTTAATTGGCTTCCTGAAGCACATACCGCAACCTCTTTATTTGAATAATTGGACACAATGCTTACCATATGATGACTTACTTTTTTTCTCGGGCAATCTGTTTTATTATTGGTTCATTACTGCTTAAAACATTTTTTGAGTATATCTCAGTTTCTCGTCTTACTGCAATATGATGTACAAACCATCACTGGTGAATTAAGCCGGTAAAAACAACTTAGCGGGGCAATATACGGTTCACAAAAGAGAAATGTGAAAATAGTCCCCTGACTCTTTGTAATTGGTCATTTGAGCCTTAGAGTCCATAAACTATCAATTTAGTCCCCATAATCTTTTAATGCGGGCTGAAATAGTCTCCACATTGGATTATTTCAGCCCCAATTTAAAGAATTTGAGGACTAATCTGGCACTTTTATAGATTTTGGGACTAAAATAGTCCCATGCAAACCGTGAAGAGACTCATGGGACTATTTTGGCACTTTATGCTTTCACAAAATGTTGATTGACGCCTTGATTTATTGGATGATAGCCATTACATTTCAAAGTTTTTAAAGTAGAATTATTTGGATTTAATTCCTTTCTTTTTTTTATTTAATTTTTATGTTCTGGGAAACTATTGTCATTTACCATTAATTTTTTATATGCCTGTAGGGTCAAATGTTCAGACTGATGCAACGTTTGGAAAATACAACTCCCCACTTCATTAGATGCATTAAACCAAATAGTAAGAAACTTCCTGGCATTTTTGAAAATGATATTGTCTTACAACAGCTTAGATGCTGTGGAGTTTTAGAAGTTGTCAGGATATCCAAATCAGGCTATCCAACTCGAATTACACATCAGCAATTTGCAGAGAGGTAACTTTCCAATTTCGGTTTTGTGCAAAATCATCTTTTAATCTAGCTTTCTTATTTGGATGAAAATTTTGGAGGTCTAACAATGTTCCCTTTAGGTATGGCTTCCTTCTTTTGAACGATATGGATTCCGAGGATCCATTCAGTGTTTCCATCTCCATTCTACATCAGTTTAATATTCTACCAGAAATGTGCCAAGTTGGTTATACCAAGTTATTTTTCCGCGCAGGACAGGTATGCCTGTTATTTATTAGGGAAATTTACATAAGTAGCACATCATTCCTATGTATTTACATGTCTCATACTTAAACTTTCATATTCACATATAAAACACTTTGGTGCTTTAAATCTATGCATGAACAATTGTAAAGTAGTAATAGTGCTATTTTTTATGTGATATTAAAGATTTGAGTGCTATGTGTGTAAATATGAAAGTATTGTGATGTGAGATATGTAAATACATAAGAATTGTGTGCTATGCATGTAAACCCCCACTATTTATTTAATGAAATGCGCTTCCTATTGGATAACCTGAAATATTTTGCTTGTTAAACAAAAAGTTCAATTCAAATCCTATACTAAGCCGCAAATTTTGCTGTAATTAGTGGAAAAAAAACTGATGTATAAAGTTTTCATATATCATACATGTTAAAATAACATTATTTTGAATAAAGTCAGCTTCAAAGATAGTCCTAAGATAGTATTAGTATAATTTTTTATATCAACTTCTTCATTCTGTTTTCTCCGGACTTCTTTTATTGCTCAAAATGATTGTCAAGGATTCTTTCTCAATTATTTAGTTTTAAATTGTATGTTTTTTTTTTTAAATAATAATATTTCATCAGTCTATTTGGTGCTTCTTTCTTGAAGTGTATTGGCAAAAACAGAAAATGAAATTTAGGCTCTGAGCACTGTTTGCCATGGGGACACAACAGAAGGGAAAACTGTATGTAAACAGTAAGTTAATGTTCTTTAAGATATCTACATTGTAGTTGTACTGTTGGTAATTCAAGTAATACAGGGTGAAAAGGGTAATAAAAGGTTTTCCAATGTCAATGGAGCTAGAAGAGGAATTGGGTTAATAAGAAATTAAGTGTTAAAAATTCACTTTTATTTTAGTCCTATAAAGTATGTCACTTCCTATCAGTAATTGGGTTAACGAAATTCTTAATAAATATATTAATTAGATAATGTTATAAATATATCAAGGGTATTTACAAAAAAAAATTATGAGGGAAAAAAATACAATAACATATAAAAAGATGTGAAGTACTCATTTTAATCATCTAGTTTGAAGCATAGTAAAACAAAGCAGAGGACAAGAACATCAGCCATTATCTCTAGAAGAGAATCCGATCCTTGCTTCAAGTTTTATGAACATACCTGAACTGATGAGAGAGAAAAAGTGTGTGTGTGTGTGTGTGTGTGTGTAAGGGTGGTGGATGGAGGTCTTCCACCCAACTAGAGATATTATGAGCATCAATTGGAAGGTTGTGCATCTAAAATTAAAGATTAGTTTTCTTGGGTTGAGCATTGAAACATTCAGAGAAGTTATATCCAATGATATGGCGAGAGGAGTTGTGATATCCAATTCTTTGAAGGCTTCATCACAGAGGGCCTAGTAAAATGTTCTGTTGTAGCATCCATAATATATAAGCTAAGAAAAATAAGGCAAAATAAACAAATTTTTGAAAAAAACAATTTATGGAAACAAGATCCAAATAAGTTTTATAAACGCTCAATGTAGTAATAAAAATGGACACTATTTTAGCATATGCACATTGAAAAGCCAACTATATGTATGAATGCCATGAGAAGTTTCTAGTATAATCTGCTTCTGAAGAAAGTGTTATGATAGCATGCTAAGGATTGATGAGCCCAATAGAGTAGTCACCTATTAGTAGTTTATGAGATATGAACTTACTATTTTTTTCATTCTAGGACTTGACTATAAGCATGTTGAAGTGATGTAAAAAATATCCAGGGGTGGTAAGTATTTAGGATACTTTGAGATATTGAATGGAGTGTGAATTTAATATGGTGTATTATGAATTTTTTAGGTTGTTTGGTTCGTTGTAAAAAAACTAATGATTTTTTTTTTGGTTGGTTAAAACTACCTCTTGATTTCCATTTAGGCCCGGTGGGTGTGATCGTTACACACAATGTCAACAATGAGGTTTGCGAAGATTTGCAGGTTTGAAGGATTCACAGAGACTTTTATTCGATTTGTCTGAATTTAAAATAAACTCAAAATGGTCTAATGGGCATATAATGAAATCCAGAAAATATTATTCAGCATTTGCTTTCTTCCAAACTAACTCCCAAAAAGTTAGAAACCTTGCATTTCAAATGCAAGACACTTCTAATACTAATCAAACAACTTGTAGAAATAGAGATTTGGGATTTTGTAAGGAGATAACGAAAATGTTATATAATTTCTTTTTCATGGATGCAAATGATAATGATCGACTGGTGATACTCAAATACTTAATGTTCATGGGGTGAGTAGATGCGCTTCAAACATCTTGGATATACTATGCAAAAGAATGTGATATAAAGAAATAAATTTCTAGTTTGACTATGGTTGAACTTAAACAGAATAGTCACCACAGTTTTTTGCCCTTTTTCAGCATTAGATATCAGTATCTGAAAAGATAATTGTTTTTATTTATTGCCATGATGCAGTATTGAACTACTTGCTGCTCATCATTTTCTTTCTTTTCGAAATTTCACCTAGACTTGTTGATTAATCTTTCTCATTTATTGGATGAACTTCAGATTGATGTGCTGGAAAATGCTAGAAATAAAACTATTGAAAGGATTATATGGGTTCAGAAACAGTATCGTGGCCGGCAAACTCGTCGACATTTCCAGGAGCTTAAGCAAGCAGCGATCACACTTCAATCATGTAAGGCATATGTATCCTAACTATTACACACTTCTATTAACTCCAAAAATTATGCCCAAGTTTATAGGCGGAAGGTGGAGGAGAAAGAACTCCTCATGCATAATTTAGAGTGATTTTTGTCCACATTTTTTATCTTAGGAGCATCTGATTGGGCTCAAATAATCAGGCTTCATCCATCAATTATTAATCAACTTCAATCTTCATCATTGTTACAATAGTAACCTTCAGAAAGTAGAAATTTGTCATAACAATATTGGAGAGTCCACCGTCATGAGATTGACCATTATAATTTTAAGAAAGTCTAAAGTAATCTGCTTCCGCCAATGGTCTGACAATGATATGTCTATAATCAAGAAGCTCGTTAGAGTAATCTTTAGTGAAATGTATATCTGATATAAATATGCTTGTATAATCTCATGATTGGGGTGCCCCTTCCAGCATTTGAAGTGATGCCAAATCAACAGTTGCAAGCCCTAGGGAGCTTTCACTTCAAAGAATAAATATTTGTTAGTATAGTTTCACATAAAATGTGTTATAGACTAAACAAATGTGTGATTTTCTGATGGCATGCTGGTTGAAGTGCATTAAAATTTGATTAAAACGTCTTGAAATTTAACAAAATGTTTACGAGATTATTCTAGGTCATTCATAAAAATAACCATAAAATTAGCTCAAAATAATATTTATTAATGAATTTCAAGAAATAAAAAATTTAAACAAATTAAGTTTATAATATGAATGGAGATAGCGGAGGTGAATGATTTTTTTGTGAAGGTTTTTCAAAAATTTTCATTCATTTGTCTCTCTAGCTCTTTTCCTCTCCTCCCTAGTCTTCTTCAACCAAGGTTCAACGCCTCACCTCCATCAGGTCAAATACTAGATCCCTAACTTCCATGATAGGCACCGTAAGATGCACAAGAACCGGACCTGATTGCCTATTTTGAAGCTTTATTTCAAACTGCACGCATGGTTATATTGATAGAAATCATCTATTAACTTGGTGAAGTTTTGTAATCTATTGGCATTTGTCTGCATTGCCCTCCGAGTATTTCTTGATCTTTCATTTTTTTCCTCAGTCATCCGTGGTTATTCCGCAAGAAAGAAATTTTGTAATCTCAGAAGCAATCAAAGGGAAAAGCTTTACCACGAAACAAGCAATGGGGAGACGCAAAGAGTCCTTCAAGAAAGGAAGGTAATTTCCTCTTTTCAAAGTTAGAAAATGGTTCTGTCGTTGTAAATTTGGCAGGTTTACGTTCATGCTACTCCATTCTTATGTCTTTACATATCCAAGCACCTTGTTGTAAATGTAAAAAAGTAAAGTTTAGGTGTTCGATATGTAAATACATAGGAATGGGGTGGTATGTATGTAAACGCCCCTTTAACTTTAGGGGTGGTATGTATACGCCCCTTTAACTTTATATTGATACTTGTATAGGTGCATTCTTCTTCATATGCCTAGAAGTCATGCATCACACAATTGTTTATTTTGATAAGATATTTGACAAATTTACACCCACCAAAACAAATATTTACAAAAACGAATGTTTACATGATAAGTGTGTTTTTTTTTTCAGGCTTCGTCTGAGAAGCATCCTGAGGTGCAAGATTTAGCTTTACTAGAGCTTCAGAGCCGAGCTCTACAGGCAGAGGCAATGCTGAGCCAAAAAGTGGACGAGTGTGCTGCTCTGCAAGAAAAGCTTCGACTATCTGATATCAGATGGTTCGAAAAGGATATAAAGATGAGATCGAAGGAAACCTCTTTGCAAGTAAGTTTTAACTACTTTTTTATTTTCATTATTAATGAAGGCCTTGTATCTGCAGGAAAGGTTATAAACTTTATATTAGAATATGGATTGAAACACAGTGCAGAGAAACACATTCTTTTTTTTCGTGGGGGAAATGAACTTGTATACCACATAGTTTTTATGCATTTGCATATCTCGCACCTAATTTTCTTTAAACCTATTCATGAATATGTCTATTTTACTTTTAAAAAATGATAATAGTGTTATTTTTATATGATATTAATGATTTGAATGCTAAGCATGTAAATATGAAAGTTTCGGTGCAAAATATGTAAATACATAAGAATTGCATGCTACGTATGTAAATGCCCGTTTTTATGAGTCATGGCATGCAAATAGGAAAAACTTGCTTCAGATTGGGTTTTATCTCTTTCTTGAGTAAAACATGGCGATATGAACCGATATACTAACCGTTGTTTGCTCAATTGGTGCATCCTCCAATATGGTTCAATATTGTGGCATTCAAATAATAGCTAAATGTAATAACACAACTTGTATAAAGTACTTAATTACAAATAACACCATAACAAGATAACAACAATTACTACAAATAGAATAACTACATGATAATAATAATATAATATAATACATTGAAATACAGGAAAATCACAAACAAATAATTGAATTAAAAATAAGATAAAATGTTAACTCATGCAAAATTTTGCTTGGATCCCTGGCAAGCACACAAAAAATATCACCAATTAAAATGGCATACGTAACTGCCTGTGTTACACAAGTAATATAGAATGAGTAGAGTACATTCTAACGAGACTCACAACTGAAATCTTTATATATTAAATACTAATTCATATCATAATAATTTTTTATCCAGTTGAAATCTTTGTTTTTCATAATCTGTTGTGGGAGATGATGATGGTTATGTTGATTCATAGCTGATGGCTTTGACAATTTTCATGCAGTTGAGTTTAGCAGCATCAAAGACAGATCAAGCGTGTGGCAGGCCAGACTCATCACCAGTTAATCATAATCATCAGAATTATGACTCCGAGAATGGTGTTTCAACCAGGATGCACCAAACATCAGACACCACTCAACTGAGACGATTTCCCGCGTCAACGGCTTCACCTGTAGTAGATTATGAGGTGAAAAATGGCAGAGTTGGTCCTCTTTTTAGGGAGTTAGAGCATAGAATACAGAAGTTCGAGGATGAAGGTCGGCTCATTCACCAACTTGACTCGGAAGAAGAGTTCCGAAAGCTTAAGGTTAGGTTTAATGCTTGGAAGAAGGATTTCAAGGCCCGACTAAGGGAAATTAAGGCATCGCTCCGCAAGTCTGGGTCGGCTGAAGGGGATAAAAAACAGAAAGGATGGTGGGTCAAGAGGGCATTAAAAATCTGATTGAGTCCTTTATGTTCATAGCTCGTGTTGATTTGTGTCGAAATGCAATCATTCGTAGGCACAGAAGTGACTTGCACGTCAATGAACGGTTGAAGACGGGGAAGAAATAGTGGCAGGCTTGTCTTTTGGTTTATTCAAATATTTAAGTGTATATAAACAATTGTATATGTCTTCCAAAAGTGGGAGAAAAATGCCAAAGTTAAAATGTTACTATGTAGATTTAGCTGACTTGTGAACAAAATGAAGAAGAGGGAGCAGAGTAGCAACATTGTCTTTAATTTTCTTACTTTTTTGGTTTAAGGAAGGAGTGTTGCAGCCTGCAGAGCTAAATGTACATAAAGAATTAAAACTCTTTCGCCACCACTGCATTTGCTGGAGGCTAAAGCGTGCATTACTGCTAACCTTTTCATAAGAGCAATTTGTTATATTTTTTAGTTGAATCTAAATTAACTTATTTGTTGGCATTGGCGGCCGTCTTCTAAATTAGCATTATAGAGATGTAGAGGAATGTTATAGAAGTTAAATATGTTGTGTTAAATATAGTGTGTTTGAATGTGTTGTATGGTTGTTGGAAATAAAATGAAGAATGTTAAAGTGTTAAAGTGCTCATTCTGCCTGAAAAAGAAATAGTCTGATTGTTCTTTAGCATGTGATATAATTAAATGCATTGATATATATTATTAATCTTAGTAGGAACTGATTATTTGCATCATAGTTAGAAGTGATTTTTCTACATGCCACTGAATTTGTGTGCCTTAACAAAGTAATTACCAGATCTTATATATTTACTTGTGTTTATATAACTATTCATTTCTAAATGATATAAAGATATATATACATGAAAAAATATTTTATTATAAATAAATTATCATTGTTGATAATTTTTATATCATTTAGAGATTAATGATATTTAGCACATGAATATAAAAAATTAAATGTTAGATATATAAATAGATACGTTGATGATATGTTACTCTAAAAATATAGAAAATATAATGAGCTTTGATTTGAGGTATATTTAATTTTTTGTTCTAAGTATGAGAATTCTATTCTTAAATGTATGGCACATTTGATGAGAATAAAGTAAAAAATCTCATGAGATTATATTAGAGTTTTATCAATTTTTTTCTAATATTTGTGAGATAAAGATTGTATAAATGTTGATGTTGTTTTGTTTATTTATATAGTAATAACATTATGATGTTATTTATTATTGTGTGCTCTTAAATCCAGGTAGTATAGTGATATATCAGTATCTTAGTATTGAATGAAAATCTACTGCATGCACAGGTAAAAAGAAATTGACAGAAAAAATAATAGAAGTTTTTTTATACGGAAAACCTGAACAAATAAAAATTACGGGGTATGACCCAGTTGAAATGATTCTACTATGTCAATGTAGGTCACAAAATTTTATCGGTCCTTGTATAGCCTAAGATAATATACATGAGTGGGGTGTGGCGTTCGCTAAGGAAGTGACAGAAAATGTTGAGGAAATGGTGGTGATTCTGTTGTTATATAGAAAGGTCGATGGTAGAGATCGAGTGTCATAATGTCTAATCTTAGTATTTGCAGAAGCGATGGCGACTGCGATGTTTGGAGAGCAGAGGTCCAGTGGTGGTTGTGTTGGTAGTCTGACGACGACAACAGTGGTCTGATGTCAATAGTGATGGAGGTCTGTCAGCAGTGGTCTAGCGGCTGCGGAGGTCAACGACGTTGGTTCGGTGGCAGCGACGGTTGTCCGACGATGGTCGTGTTGTGGTAGTCGAACGGCGGTTGGGCTGTTGTGGTTTAGTGGCAATGGTGGTCTGGTAGAGGTAGCGGTTTGATGGCTAGGAAATGATGGTCATAAGGCAGCGGCGACTCAACGGCGGTAGGCTGCCAACGACGGCTCGATAACGATGCTTGGGCAACAGCGATTGTGGTCCGACAGGGCAAGGATCGGTCAGTGGTGATCAACGACTCAACATCGATGACTGAGCAACAATGATGGTGGTTAATTGGTGGCTCTGGCTAATCGACTAGTTTCTGGTGATCTGGTGGGGGTGGAGCTTAAGAACCTTCAAGAGCTTGGAGCTCCTTCAGTTTTCTCTTCCAGGTCCAGCCGTCCTCTTCATGAAGAGAGTATGAGTCTTTTTATAAAATTTATGAGTAGCAGGCTCTATTAACATTTCATAAATCTAAACAACTCCATCAGACGCCCCAGAGGATTCCTTTGATGAGATGGTATTTTATGAGTATTCAAGTGCTTTAATGATATTTTATTAAAGTGATATTTTGCTTATTGTATTTGGCTCGTTGAGGCACTCAATTTGAATATAAACTTGCTAAATTTTGAGATTATTTGATATCCCAAAGTATATTTCAAAACTTCCACCTATGCTTTATTTGTATGATCTGGGCCTGCTTACTCAGAAAGGATCATTTTTTATGGCATATGGTTCCTCTTCCTGAGACCCTTCACTTGATTATAAATTGGAGCGCATGTGTTTTCAAATCTAATTTTTGAAGCTTTTGCTCAAAATGTGTATCAAAATTTGTGTGGATCAATATGATTTTTTAGGAACATATCAGTTGCCTCTTATTTTTATACATCACCGTCAAAAATATTGAAAATATACCCAAAGCTTTCGAAGAATTGTGTGATGTAAAATAGTAATTTTCAAGGAAATGTAAGATGTAATTGCTTCTCTGGTGTTAGCAAATACTTTATTGTAGGATTCGTTACTCATGAAGATATCAAATTTGAGTTGAAAATGTCATAAAATTACCTCAAGATCTCAAGGTGCAACAAATGGGTTGTATAAGCTATCCTTATTAGTGGTAGTGACGACATGCACCAAGACGAGCTAGCAAGGCACTTGCATGCAAACGGGCGAATGATCGGGCGGCGATGATGACCAAACGATGATGGTATAACAATGAAGGAGGCATTACTAAAGTGATATGACAAGTGCGATGGTAAGGCCCAAGCTGCAGTGGTTCGGTGATGGTGGTGGTGATGGCGAGGGACAAATAGTTGTGATCAAGCAGCAACTACGATGGCGGTTGAGCTCTGGTAGTATGGCGGCAGTGGTAGTCAGATAGCGGTGATCAAGCGGCAGCTACGGTAGTTCAGCAGCGCGTGAGTACATGTGCTTATGTACCAGCGACATGCATGTACTCACATATGCGTACCTACGTGCTAGCAACCCATGTGTGCATGCACATGCGTGCTAGCATCACTCATGTGCACACCTAGTGCGAGAATCTCATATTTTGAAGGTTTTTTTTATTTATGGAGATTTATTACTTTTTCACCTTGGGCGTTCGTTAAAGGGTTTTGATTGATCTGAAAGCTACAAGAATTTACTTGTTGCTAAAATATGACATCATAAATCAAAATAAATGTTTTGAAGGCTTCAATTTAGAGGATTCTGGCGCTGATGGGCGTCTAGGACCCTTGTGCCGATAGATAGGTCTAAAATCTGACTTTTTCCAAAATGTGCATGAGAGAGCTTGATGAACCCCCTTGGCCATTAGAGGCTTCGAATAGATAGGATATGACATTTAAATACCAAGAAGACATTAAACATGTCCCGTGTCAGAATTAATGTCGCCCCATGGTGATTTCTTCTAGGTAGAGCTAAATCGAGATCAACCCTAGCTCTGTGCTCGAGGTGCATACCGAATGGTTTAGATGAATGTCCTAGGCTACAAGAAGCTGTAAACCGGCCTGTAGCACTCAATCGAATATTAACATATATGACATCCAAAAATGATGCTAACAAAGGATTCGCAACAAGTGTGTTGCATCGCTGAAGCACAATGCACTTGTTGGAAGCATCCTAAAATCTTTCTTGGTGTTTGGAACATCTTCCCAAGGAGAAAATAAACAAAGGACACAGCCAAGCCAGGTTTACTTAACATGATATGATTGAGGTGATGGCTACACCAGGAAGGAAAACGCTAGGATTCACATCCCATCCTGAAAACCAATCAAAATATATAAAGCCTGATTACATTCGAGAAGGATGCACTAAGATTCATATCTGACCCAAGAGGTAAACATGGTGGCTAGGTCATGAAGGAATGCACGAGGGATCACATCCTATCCGAGGGCTACTCAGAATAAACTGATCCGGAAAGAAGCCACTAGGGCTCTCGTCTTCTCTGGGAACTCAGTCAGACCAAATATACTAGACAGGGTATGACCAAGGGGTAACTAGCTAAGTCAAAACTGACTGACCATGAAAGGACTCAGCCAAGCAAGATTTGTTGGACAAGGTATGACCGAGGGTGTGGCTAGCCAATCAAAACTGACTAAACATAAAATGACTCAGGCTTACCAGACTTACTGGACAGGTGGGTATGATTAAGGGGTTCTACATAGCAGATCAATCTGTAATACCTATACTTCGAAACGATATAACGATAAGGGCCTCTACCTGACCCTACTTCAAAATGGTTGAGGAGAAGAGTGGATCATTTCGTGTGATCCGAGTCATCTGTTATGTTTCTATTGAAACCCGATTGCGAGTCTAACCGATCCCCTTAAATAGAAGCACACCCATCAAAACAACTAGGTGACCATCAAGACCGAAACAACCCAATTGAAGTGGCAGCTAACCTGTGCCCAAAGTGTTGTGGTTAATTGAGAAGATTAGATCATCTCATGTGAAAAATAAATGGAAAAAATATATTTATTTAGTTTTAAAATAAAGGCCATTAAATGCAGACTTGTAACATGTAGGACGACACAAGTTAGATCCCTTGGATCCTTAACACTATTATACTCATGTTAATCTCAATGTGATAACTCACATTGCTCGTCTGGATTGACCCAACAAGCAATGCTCGTTAGGGCATTGCGACAAGCACGGGGTCACACGCTTATCAAGCTCGGCTTGCTATCCATGCACTCGTATGGATGCAAATGCAAACAAAAATACAAAAGAATGGAGGCAGTGACTCAAAGGAGTGGGTGTATCATGGAGTGAGTGACCCAAAGGAGGTGACCATCCTATGGAGGCAGCGACCTAAAGAATGGGTGTGCCGTTGCGGTAGTGACCTGAAAAGATGGGCGTACCGTGGAGACAATGACCTGAAGAATGAGTATGTCATGGAGGTAGTGACTTGAAAGGGTGAACATGTCGTTGAGCCAATGACTTGAAGAATGAATGTGTCAGAGAGGTAGCGGCCCTATGTCGTCGAGGCAGTGACGCAAAAGGGTGAGCTTGTTGTGGAGGCAACGACCTAGAGATTGGGTATGTTGTGGAGACAGTGACCAAAAGGGAGGGCATGCCACAAAAAGAGCAGCTCAAATGATGGGTGTATCGTGGAGTCGGTGAACCGAAAGGATGGACGTGTTGTGGAGGTGGCAGCCAGAAGAGTGGGTGTGTCATGGAGGCGGTGACCCCAAAAGGGTGGGCGTGTTGTAGGGGGTGGCCCAAAAGAATGGATGTGTTGTAGGGTAGTGTCCCGAAAGGGCGACCATGTTGTGGTGGTAGTGACCTGAAGAAATGGGTGTGTTGTGGAGTTAATGAACCAAAAAAGGTGAGTGTGTCGTGAAGGTAACGACTTGAAGAATATGTGTGTCATAAAGGCAATGACCCAAAAGGGATGAGCGTGTCGTGGAGGTAGTGACCCAAAGAATAGGTGTGTAATGAAGGTAGTGACCAAAAAGGGTGAGTGTGTTGTGGAGGCAGTGACCCGAAGTGTGGGTGTGCCGTGGAGATAGTAACCTGAAAGGGTGGGCGTGTCATGGAGGCGGTGACCCAAAGAATGAGTGTGTCATGGAGGAAGTGACCCAAAAGGGTGGGCGTGTCGTGGAGGTAGCGACCCAAAGAGATGGGTGTATTGTGGTGGCAGTGACCCGAGAGGGTTAGCGTACGGTGGAGACAATAACCCAAAGAAATGGTTGTATGAGGAGGCAGTGACTCGTACGGTTGGACGTGCTTTGGAGGCAACAACAAAAAAGAATGGGTATATTGTGGAGGCAATGCCCTGAAATGTGCCTACGATAGTCCTGAGCAGTGTTGTAGAAAGTTTAGAGATGTAACTCCTGTTGGACAGAATTACATGATCAATCAACTCAGTGATGAGCCACCCGTTTGCATGATGTATTAATGTGAGGGATAAGTGTGAAAAACCAAATCCAAGTGCGAGAGAAACTCAAGAATGTGAGTCATGAACATGCAAAGTGTCATGCAAAACAAACATGCAGAAGTGCTTAAGTGTAAGTGTGAACCACTTGTGACATCGTTCTAGGTGACAAGAAGATAGCACAAAGCAAATGTAGAGTAATGTGTCTTTGGGAGGCACATGTACTCGTCACAAACATATGGGGGCATATGTTCGAGGATGCATGACAAGGGTGCAAGTGGTGGATGTGCTAATGAAAGGTCATACAATCAACACTATTGCACATGCAAGACACACACTATGCGAATGAAGTTGATTGTTTGACCTGTTGGGTCGACCAGAGTAGTCAACCCGGGGCAATGTAGCCAACAGGCTCTGTCGGGCTAAGGTGACCGACTCGTCCAAGTGATTGGTTGACTGGGCCGGGGCTGCCGGTCATACCAAAGTGATCGGTCGACCGACCCAAGGTGGCCAGTAGGACCTAAGTTTAGTGCTGACTGGGTCAGGTTGGCCGGTCAAGGCGAAGTGTAATGTCTTCCAAGCTAGGGTAACCAGTCGGGGCAAAGTGCAATGTCAATCAAGCCGGGGCGGCCAATCATGACGAAGTGTAATGCCAACCAAGCTGGGGTTGTCTGTTGAGGCAAAGCGCAATGATGACTGGGTCAGGGCGACAGTCGAGGCAAAGTGTAATACCGTCGATTTGGGGCAGTCGATCAAGGCTGAGTGCAGTGTGTAAAATGCAACACGTGAGATGCAAGACAATAGCGAGCCTACTCGACTAATGCTCTCACATAGGCACTTAAGTTTTAGCTCTTAGATTCACAGCATTGCCGCCTCTGACTTTGGCGAGGAAAATGTGGAGACCTCCATTCTCCAATTTTTCGTAGAAGAAGTACATCACCGTTTGTAAGGCAGACTAACTACAAAATTTTTTCGATATTATGGATTTCCCACAATCTTGTTGAAGGAACTAGCTACAAAATTTTTCTCATTCCTCAAGATCCAGTTGTTCCAACCCCTCCAAGGAAGGTTGGAAGTGTCAAAACCGTGTAAATTTGGGACTCCAACCCACTAAGATTTAGATCTAAAGCATGCAGCGGGAAGGCACTCGGCTTCGCAAGGATTTGTCCATGCATGTGATTCCTAATCGAGGGAATCCTCTAGGAAAGAAATGACCAATCAATATGTGTGTGGTTGTGACGTTCTGTGTTGGCTGGCCAAGTTTCCTAGCGTGGGCAACCAAACCCATGACGACACCACAAAATTGGCCAATCAGAAGGCGTATGGATAGGACGCCTATTGTCAGTCGGGCAACTTGCCTCGTGTGGACGACCAAACCCACAACACCTAGTAAAATCTACTCCTATAGCTAGCTAAAAAAGAAAACACAAGGGATTTTAGAGAATCTCTCCAATGTAATGCTTGATGTCTCGTTTATTCATGTAGGATGAAGCTCTCATAGTGATAAGAGAGAGCGACAAAACGTGCTCTTTGTTTGCCCGAATTGTCGGCGTCCGGACCACGTATCGACGTATCTCACAGGACATGCATGAAATGAGCAAAAGAGTGAGTGAGGGCAAGAGGTATACAAGTACCCAAAATAAATGTCACAATATACGAAAATGTGATCAACACATACCTTTGCAAGAGGGAGTAGACACTATGGGGGGGGGGGGGGGGGGGGCGAAGGTATATAACAAGGTTAGACATCGTCAGCGGTTTGCTTTTCTGCTACACGGGTTGCCGTTCACAAGGGGAAACAACACAAGGCTTACAGGGTGCAATAGGCACTAGGGCATCATGCCACTTTGGCATAGAGCCAAGAGAGAGGCGAGGGTTTTAGGGTTTAAGGTTTCATGGATTCTGCCATCTTGCTGATAACTCCTACGTAATACACTAATTGGTGTCCCGCTCCAGCACACAAGCAAACACAAACTACTCTAACCCACTAGGTTTGCACTTGGTCAGCTTCGCCAAGATAGCTTTTTGGGCTAGACCCAACCATTTCCAACTTCGCCACCCACCTAATGCCCGCCAACCAGTGCATCCACCCGATTATTACTTTTCAGATCAAACTCTCGGCTCACTGCACGCACCTGTCATCGCTGTCGGATGCAACCATCGCCAAAATATTTTGATATATATGAAAGTAGAGAGATTCAAACTGAAGGAATGTAGAAAGAGAGGCTTGCACCAACTGAGCTGCAAATCTTTCCTTAGATATACATATACAATAATACATACAAACATATTTATAAAAGGCGTGAAAAAAAAATCAAAATTTTTGCTAGTTTAGGACTACGAAATCAACCTTGACCTAAAATATGGGGAAGCCGATTTTCCACCAACAAATTTGGATCATTCGACATAAATCTGAAGTCATGTCACGATTCTAGAGGCTATCTGTTAAGCAATGAATATTCAAACTTTAATTAAAAATCACCAATAACTCTAAGCTCAACAAACTTACTCCCTTAAAAAAAAGGGCATAGGCCTTGAACTAGAGGAAGGCCGAAGCTTAGAGGAGAAATAACTAAAGTCCAGTGTGTCAAATCAAAGGTCCAACGAATTCCACCCACTTTTGTCGTTTATAATCATCATCGACCACCACTGGTCGCCTGTCGTTGACCACCATTGACTACCACATTCTCATTGTGACAAAACCCCTTGTGGAATGGGAACATGTGCTACCGAATCACGACGTACGTTGCAGAATAACAAACCATCTGACATGGTAGTGCATCATCCTTAACATTGTGTCGACAACCCTCAAAGAGATGTACTGAACTTCCAACAACTGCTCCCGACTGCAATCATTCCAGGTCATTGTGCATAAAATATTGTATCACGTTGAACTACACAGTTTTTGTCACCTGTGGGACAATGACTTGTGTGTATACTAGCAGATTGTTTAAACTAGGCTAGGCTTCACAATTTTTTCCTTTCTAGATATTCAATTGAACAACTTCTGGTGTGTCAATTTTATTATCTAAGTGCATGTTCTCGTCCAACACTAAAACATTGATTAATTACTCTGCCTCCGTGAATTCTCTAGCACTCATCAACTATTATTAATTATAAAATAATTTAATATTTAAAATATTTTGAGATAAAAAGATCGGGTCACCAGATTTGAAAATATATTTAGAATAATATCAAACAAATTTATAAATATTTTGATTTTGCTTAATTTCTTACTTCACTCTCAAAATAGATATAATTTTTTAAAATGTTGCACTAATAGATCTAATGGTTTAAAATGTTGCATTAGTTGTGATAAATAAGATGATAAACAAGTAAATATTTCTGATGTTATACGAGTAAAAATCTCAAAATAAATTTATGCGGAATATTTGTTGTATGATTAAAATTCCTGTCTATATATTCAGCATTCGGAAATGAGGCGGTAGGCGGTAGCACACACTTAGAACTGCCCCCTGTGGTTCCAGGGTATCTCCTGGCGGTTCTGTATTTTCTAACTTTCTTGTCTTCCATGGCGTCGAAGCAGCATCATCCACCTCCTAGCGACCAACTTGAAGCCGCGGCGAAGAGGCCAAAAGTGGAGGAATCGCCTTCAATTCATAGCATTAACAATCCCCATCGCGTCGAGCTCAATCCAGCCGACTGCGGCCTAGGTATTCTTTTTCATATTTACGTTTCATACATTCTTAGGCATTGTTTATTCGTTCTGTATTTTCCTTCCTTCAACCACCGCTTTACGAAAGATTTATGTCCTATAATCTAGAGTGGTAACATGGAAGCGTTGATTAATGCAGTATGAAGTTCGGAGGAACCGGTGGTTAAGACGTTGATTATGGAAAATTGGGAATAATTCTTTGATTTTTAAGTTTGCTGGAAAAAATATATATATTCTATGCATCTGCATGTTGATTACTTGATTTTTTTTTGGGTTTTCTTGTCCATATGACTATATATGGACGCAAATGTTCATTTTCATTTTGAAATTTTCTTTCCTGATACATTTCATTGCTGAACTCTCAAAAGTAAAATGGTGGGCGTTGATTTTCCTTTCAACGAACAAATTTGCTATACACCAAAATTTATTTAATACTACAGTTGTTTGTCTTCGATCAAGCTTGCCATATAAGTGTTAATAGAATTTCCAAATAGTGTGATTTGGGAGTTCATATTTTGTATGGACTAAATTACTCAAATTGAATAAAAAATGTACACGCCTAATTTTGCATATTGAATTAAGTCAAGTTTTTTTTATGTTCAAAGCGATTCATAAACCATGATTCAGGATCGTAACTACATTAAACATAACTTTTTTGCTTGAGCTTTATATTTAATTAAATGGTCATAAAATTAATAAGTTTTCCTCTTAGATATTTTTTATTTGGTTGGTCAAAATCTAGGGTGTTAATTTTCATTTTAAAATATTTATTTTACAATCCATTCGACGGGGAAAATGATTTTTTTCCCTTCAAATAGGACTTATGCTTCATTTATTCTTTACTATATATGCTTTAGATATGTAGGGATAGATTTATATCCTTATGTATGGATGAGGATAAATTTTTGCATAAATTTTTGTATTGTCTTATTTTTTTAATTATACAACATTCTATTGACTGACCAAATTATTTCATCTTAACTATTAAAGGCACAACAATGCTAAATTTTAAGCTATATGGCCAGGAAAGAAAGATAGGCTTATAACAAAGTTTATTTTCTTCTACAATTGTTTCTCTTCGATCAAGCATGTTCATGATTCTTGTTACTAGGTTTTCAAAATGTGCTGTAATAGAGTTCATATTTTGAGTGGATGAAAATTTTCAGATTGATAAGAATTGCATTTTCTTCTAACTTACAAAGTAATGCCATTTTTTTATTATTTATTTTCCAATATGAATCTTGAAGTATGTTTCTTAGTCATGGTAACTTTGAGCTCATTGAATTTTTTCATAATCTTGATGTCTAATTAAATTGCCATAAAATCTAAAGTTAAATTTTTTTAGCTATTTCTTATGCAGTATATCAAAATAAACGGGCATTGATTTTCTTTTTTTAACTCTTCTATGTAAAAATAAAATCATTAGGGAAAGTGACATTTTCCTTCCAATAAGCCCTTTCCTTGTCATTTACACTGTTATTCAACCATGTGGATGGATACATATTCTCACATTATTGTTTTTTCATAAGTCATGCAACATTCAACTGGTAAATCAAGAATTTTCATCTTAATATAAACTATTACAGGAGGGCAATGCCACATTTCATCAATTTTCATAAGTTTCTCGAATTTAATTCTTGAATAATAATATTTAATTCCATTTTTACTAGATTTTGATATTTCGGCAAATGGATTTCAAGGGAGTGCTCTTCATGAGAAAGGATTTGCCTATTGCTGGTCTGGTGCTCGAGCTAATGTTGGGATAAAGCGAGGAAAATATTGTTTTGGTTGTAAAATTGTTTCGGAACAGGTGGTTGACTTAACTGACACTCCTGTTGATCAACAACATTTGTCTCGTGTTGGAATCTCAAGGGGGGATGATTTCGTTGGAAGCCTTGGGGAAACTATCCATAGTTTTGGCTTTGGAGGTACAGGAAAATTTTCGAACTCTGGAAAGTTTTCAGATTATGGTGACAAGTTCGGCATTGGTGATGTAATTGTTTGCAGTGTTGACCTCGAGAAGAAACCACTCGCGACAATTGGATTTTCAAAGAATGGGAAATGGTTAGGTATTGCAAGGGAATTTGATGCGAGCTTGAATGGATTTGACATTGTTGACACGCAGGTGAACAAGCTTCCTTGGGAGTCGGCTTTGTTTCCTCATGTCTTGTTGAAGAATGTTGTAGTGCAGCTCCTATTCAGCATCAGCGATGGACTGACACCTATGGACCAGTACAAGCCATGGAATTCAGCTATTGAAGATGGAAATGCTGTCTTTGGTCCTATGTTTTCTAAACCAGAGGATTGTGAGGTTCTGACGATGGTTGGTTTGCCAGCTTCAGGCAAAACTACTTGGGCCGAAAGATGGGTGAAGAAGCACCCAGAAAAGCGATATGTGCTACTTGGAACCAACCTAGCACTTGATATAATGAAGGTCCCTTGTAATTATTCTAATCTGTTGCTTTTAAGTAATTAATATTGTATAACGAAAGTTTTGATGTAGGCTAAATTTTAAACAGGTACCAGGGCTCCTGCGAAAACGCAATTATGGTGAACGATTTGAGCTTCTGATGGATCGTGCTACAGGGATATTTAATACATTGCTGGCAAGAGCTGCTAAGACTCCTCGCAACTACATTATTGATCAAACTAATGTTTACAAGAGTGCCCGGAACCGTAAATTGAAGTCATTTGTGAAATACCGTAAGGTTGTTCTGAAACATTTTTATAGTAGATGATGCTTGCAATTTCTAACACTGGAAATTCCCATCTTATGGCCTTCATAATATTGTTTTCTAACAAAATTATTCCACCGTAAATTGAAGTCATTTGTGAAATACCGCAAAGTAGTTCTGAAACATTTTAAAGTAGATGATGATTGCCATTGCTAACTCTTGAAATCCTGATCTCATGATCATTCATAATATTGCTTGCTGACAAAATTAATCCACAGATAGCAGTGGTTATTTTTCCCATGCCAAATGAGCTCAGGGCTCGAGCAGCCAAGCGATTTGAAGAAATGGGAAAAGAAGTTCCCGCAGATGCGGTAAATGAGATGATAGGTAATCTTTGAAAATATGGTGCTGCTGGTTCCTGACTTAACATATTACTGAAAACCCTTTTTCTGTGATTAATGTGGAAGTAACTTTTTTTTTTTTTTTGCGTGTCATTCTTTTGTAGCTAACTACATCCTACCTACAAGCAAGAACATGTCTGGTTCTACTGAGTGTTTTGATGAGGTATTTGTTGTCTTTTCATTGCCAGTGTCTGCTAAGTGTTTGACCTTCTTATATTAGTGCAAAGAACTAGCTCATGGCATTTGATTTCTTGTCGATAGGTCATGTTCCCAGAACTAGGCAGAGAAGAGGCACAACGTTACTTAAATGAAATGAAGCGTGCGCTTCCTCCATCTTCTAAGACGAGCATAAAGGATGAATTTTCTCCTTCATCTCGTGAAAGTTCTGTCCAATCATTTCCTAGACCATTGGTTGCTAATAAAGAACATATAGCAGGTTTTTTTTTTTCTTCAAATGTATGTATGCATTTATGTATTTGTGTGTGCATGCGCGCGCACGCTTGTGTGTAGTGAGTGTTTGTGCGCTCGCCCGCACACATGTATAGTGAGTGTTTGTGGCGTCAGTGAATGTCATTTAAGCATGCATTCTTTCAGTAATAAGTGGCTATAAAATGTCTAATGCTACTTAGGTTTATTCTGCAGATTCTGAAAGATGCAGACCGACTCACCAATCTAATTTGCTATTTTCAGATTATTCAAGTCCATCCCAAGTAAGCTTCAATGAGATATATCTTGATTTTGACATTTGAAACCTAAGGGGATGTTTGGCTGCAATTAGGATTTAGTGTTAGTAGGATTTAATAAATTCGTTAAATTCACCCTACCCCTGGATTTAGTAAATTCGGATTTAAGTTGAATCGAAGGTAAAATTTGGGACTCTAAATCCGAAAATTCATAAATCCATGGGACTCATGCGTTTTAGCATTTGCCTGGATTTATAAATCCGGTGATAAATCCTATTAAAAGGCCTGCAAAACACCACATAAATTACCACCATTCATTTGTGTTCACTCATTACATTTTTGAACATGCGTGAGTTATTTAATATTGCAAAGTTACTACGTATGCTTAGACTTTGGGTTCTGTACTCCTTGTTCTTGTGTGCTTGATGAGCCTAGAGTTAGTGTTGTGCTAAGTGCACTGGCCATATAGCTTAATAATTCTTTGCAATAGTTGAAAAAAAAATTTCTATTGATTTTTTGTTTTCACGAATGAAAGCTTGGTCACTTGTATGGGGAGTGGAGTTTGTAAAGATGTCATAAACGCAACTTTACTTAGGCCACGTATACGTGGATTGCTATATCTAATTATTATTTTTCTGGCTTATGTGGGTATTTTAGGGAAGGATGGACCTAAAATAATTTATATATCACAGTGATTAGCTTTGCTTTGGTGATTTAGACATGTGCAATGAAGACTAGGAGATGGATTTCAATTGTAGGTTGAGAAAACTACTTTTGATCTATTGGAACATCAAAGTGATGTTTTGCTGGTGTGAAGTTTTTAAGGAGAATGCACAATAGTGCCTTGTTGGTGATGTATGGTGATGTGGAGGAGGCTTTCGATTGGCGTGGTTGGCTTTGGAATGGTGTGGTGGTTATAAGGGTTAGGTTTAGTGTGTTTTTTTGGTGCAGGCTGAGAAGCAGTAATGGGATGTAATTATTTCTGGTGGTATGCTTATGGGGAAGGGATTAGGTTTTACGTGGGAAGGTCTTGGTTGAGAGGTTGAGATGGGATGTAGGGTTAAGGCGAGGGGTGTAAGGAAGTATGGAGGCTAGTGGAGGGCTTTTGAAGTGGTTTGAGGGATATACTTGGAGGGGTAAATTTTGACAAGACATGATACTGGAGTTAACCCAAACAACAATCAATAATTAATATTATTACTGGAAAAAGCTACTAGACAGTACAACGACACAATGAAAGGGGAAATAACAACAATAGTATCGCGAATGTCGTGGTCGGTGAGAGGGTGGCGGTAGGCTAACAGTAGGATGGGGAGATGATGGGGAGATGACAGGCAACAACAATTGGTGTTGGGGAAGTTTTGCGGTGGAGGCTAAGGTGGAATAAGTGGTCAGCAGGACATAGGAGGATGGCTGTCTTGGGGTGCAGTTAAGATGGCAGATTGCAGTAGTATAGCAAATAGGAGGTCTGAGATGAAGTTTGATTGAGAGCAGGCAGTAGGGTTGGTGGCAGGAAAAGGGGTTGGGAAGAGGGCGGTAGGGCTGAAAGAGGAAAGCGAATGCGTGATAAAGGGTTGCGGGGAGCAGGGATTGGTTGCAGGGAGCTCAAAATAATAGATAAACACCACCTCAGGATGAGTTCAGTCGTAGCAACTTCTTGCCTTTGGATACAACCCTAAGAGGGTGAATTGAAGACGCTGATGATTGCCCCTACAAAAATCGGATAAAAAACTAACCTTAGAACACAAAAATAATATATAAATTGTCTCGACCCGACCTGGGGACTGAAATTAACCAAGACGAGTACAAGGCGGTTGGGCGACGAGAATTATAATTTTCTATATTTATTTTCTATAACTAACATTTAATTAATGAAAGATCCACCAAGGAATGTGAATTAAAGCTGTCTGATTAAATTTACCTCATTACTGTCTATTCACATTTTTGATAAACATTTCTTCTATTGCTCATTTTTTAAATCAATTAATTAAACCTAAAATGTTAGTTTAAAATAAGAGTGAATTAACCATAGTCATTGAATACTCGTATTTCTAAACCATAGTAGCATAATGAAAAGAATATAATATGCATATTAGTTAAGCTCTTAATAAATAAATAATAAAACTTTTGCTAGCTTATGAATATGACCGCTCATGATATTTCGTAATTGTTAAGGTGTTTTACTGTATCAATAATATCTCTATATCATTTATATATATACAATCATCGCAGGAGTATCGTCTAAAATTTATATTAGTTAAGACACTTCAATATCAATATCCTTTACCATTTAGTGCACAGGTACCTTAGCATTCCTTAACTAGTATTATAAATTGTTCACTCCATCATAGTCATACATGCACATGCAAGCAATCCAAATAGTAAATCTCATTATTATTTTATTTTCATTACATTCAGTTTATAATATAATAACCTTAATTATGTAGATGACTAGACATATCCAAAAATTAGTAATGCGCAATTCAATAGAATCAAATGAAATTAAAGAGCACGTAAAATCTAACTGAACAATCAACAATGTATCAAATTTATAAGAAAATAAATTACTATTATAATTTTAATGTACAAAAACTCACCTCGATCACTGACGATTTGCTTGCTCTTATGTTTCATCACTTATTTCAAATTAACATCTATAAAATATAAAATATTCATGTTAATAAATTTTTGTCACGTTACTTAATTATATTTAATTTAATTATTAATTATTGTTTTATTATATTTTTTAATTAAGATAAACTTTATATTAAATCATTGCTATTGATATTAAATATTATTAATTTATACAAAATACTTTTGGAAATAAAGCATATATTTTTTGCTATCGCCATCCTTCTCTCGATCCACAAAAAAAACTTCTATAACTTGAATCCTGATTTCAAATGCATTTAAACTTAACATTTAAATCATAAACTCAAACATTTATA